ACTCATTTACATAGAGATCAGATTCACAAATGTATCTATAGGACATCAATTATTGTTTCAGTTGGTGTTCTAGATAGCTACTTTACCTCAAGTTTAATCTATTGTTGATGTCCACCTTAAAAATAAGAACTTGAGAACATTAATATGCTTTAATGAAACAAATCAACAATTGAGTAAATTAATGATTCAGGAGAGATATTTACACATTACTTTTTTTTTAGTATTTATAGTTTCTTCATTGGGTATTTTCAATGGGCATGCACTGTGACTCTTTGGGGGGAAGAAGCATCAATTCTAAAACTGTAGTAATAAAAGAGTGGTTTTGCTAAAATAATCCTATATTCAATGAAGGTAATTGGACCCCTGACTCAATTTTTAGTTTATCAAGCACTTTGGCTCAAATCAAAAAACGAACCTTTTTAAAAAAGATTTATTTATTTATTCAGGAGAGAGAGAGGGCACTTGCACATGCACAAGTGGAGTAATCCACAGAGGGAAAGAATCTTCAAGTAGACTCCATGCTGAGGGTGGAGCCCCAGGCAGGGCTCAATCTCCTGTTCCATAAGCTCACGACCTGAGCCAAACCAAGAGTTGGCTGCTTAACCGACTGAGCCACCCAGGCTCTCTCAAAAAGGAACCTTTTATCACTGTCAATTTTTAGAACAAGTATAGTTACTGGTTTCGTAAAAAGTGACCAACACCTTGGCTGTCCCTTTATCATAAAGGACATGGGGTTAAAATTTGAATTTTCAAGTTTTTATTTTAAAGAGGAAGGTCTGTGAGATATTTGAAAGTACTTCATCCACATTTCAATTTAAATGTTATTTAAAAGCCAAGATAATTGCTACCTACTGTGTTATACACTTCTGCTTTATGTAAGACTTAATAACAATCTTAATTAGGCTAATTTTAGTCAGATTAATACTTGTGTATGTCAGCGCTAAACTACTAAATACCACATACTGCAGGATTTTAATTAACACTAAGGAAAGGAAATACTCATAATGTAAACATTTTTGAACTGAAAAAGGCTAAAATGAAGTATGCCCAATTATGACAGAGAATAAATCACAATATCACTGATTTTAGATTTTAGGTGAATTAAGGTTGACTTTTAAACAGATAAATCTGTTCACATGTAATGTTAGGAAAATAGTCTTTATAAAAGTCTGAGTATATCAAGCCTTGGCCTTCCACAGTTCTGGAGGGTTTGGAGATTTTTTAAAGTTGGTACTGTGATATACTTTTTGATTTCTTTAGGCGATAAATGCAAGACTGTCATATCTTGAATCAGAAACCCTTCTTTCGTTGCATTGTTTATGAGCTAGATAGAAGAAGTAAGTTTATTTTTCCTTTTGTTAAATTTGTAGTTTGACCAACCCTCACTTTTGGCCTGGGCTTTGATTATCCATGTCAAACACTAGGTATCTACACTGTCTGCATCATCTGCCTCCTGAAACATGACAGTTACTGGGAGGGAAATAGACGAATGTGGAAGAGAGTGTGTGTGTGTGTGTGTGGGGGGGTCCAAACGTAACTGTCCCTTGTGGTGATGAAAGGATTTTTTTTCCTTCATTTCATAGACTTAATTAGAAATAGCAAGGAGGTGCCTGGGTGTCTCAGTTATTAACCATCTGCCTTTGGCTCAGGTCATGATACCGGGGTCCTGGAACTGAGCCCAGCATTAGGCCTCACATTGAGCTCTCTGCTCAGGGAGGAGTCTGCTTCTCCTCCCTCAGTGCGTGCTCTCTCTCTGTCTCTCTCTCTGTCTCAAATAAATAAATAAAATCTTAAAAAAGAAGAAATAGTAAGGATTCCAATTAACAATTATAAATTATTTACCTGCTATAACTTAACAATTATTTATAACTGGTATGTAAAATAATAATAATAATAATAATAATAATAATAATAATAATGCAATGGTCTTAGAATGAGATGACTTGAATTCAAATGGCACTTAGTCTCTCTTGAGACCTTTGATCTATTAAATGATGGTTTATCATGAAGCTAAATAGGATAAGAAGGTGCCTACGTTCAAATTAGGAACTCATAAAAGGAAATTTTAATATTGGACTATTCACTTATGTAAATTACTACCAAAAAACTACCCTAGGTTTGTGCTTGTATGTCCTGATAAAACTTGTTAATCTTCCGTAATCATAAGCAGAATATGGAGAACTGAAGCAAACATCTAGTTTTAAAAGATGCATATCATCACACTTTTTTTTTTATATTCCCATAGCAAAATATTATGCAAATAAATGAACAAGTATGTAAATGAACAAATGAATGGAGTCTGGCTTAGAAACAACTGAATTCAGTATTCTGTACTCAGAGGAACATAGCTCTTTCTTTTTCTTAATGAGTCTAGTTTTTTCTTTTTCCTGTCCAACAAGTCTGTTACCAAACTTGAAGGGGAATATTTAGTTCATATATATGAGATATGTTAGGTAACTCTGCCTAACTTCCCTCCATCCATAAAAAACATACCCCTTTTAAAGAATAGAAATGATTTTAAATATGTAAGAGTGAAGAACTGTCCAAGAGAAAGTAACTCATATTTAAAATGAATTTAAGATATCGTATTCTCAGGAATGGCTTCTAATGTAGTTCTTTCAGTCATGTTGTATAGCATATTTTTCTAAAATGGCCCAATTAAAAAAATTAGTAATTAAGCATAATTTGGGAGCCCAGACTGGATTTCCAGTATACTGTACACGACTGCTGAAGTCTTTGGCATTTTGCAATATAAATTACCCCCCTTTTTTCCCACACTCACTCTGTTTTAATAGTGTACTTGCTGAGGGCTCCTGGGTGGCTCACTTGGGTAAGCCTTCACTCTTGGTTTCAACTCAAGTCATAATTTTAGAGTCATGAGATTGAACCCTGCATCAGGCTCCACACTCAGCATGGAGCCTGCATGAGATTCTCTCCCTCTCTCTCTGCCCCTTCCTGCGTGTGCTTGCTCTCTCTCTCAAATAAATAAATAAATAAATAAATAAATAAATAAATAAATAAATAAATAAAATCTCTTAAAAACTAGTGTACTTGCTGAGGGCATTTACAATGTCTTGCTTTTTGTTTATATCTTGAAATAGTGTTGGGCATTCACTAAATACTGGTTTTAGAATTTCTACAGTGGCAGACCAAAAAGTACTTTTTTAAGATTTAAGGATTGTCAAAGCTTAGTGAGATTTATGCTTTGCCTAAATCTATTACAATAAATAATGTTGAAGTTAGTGGCTTAAGAACTATATCAACAAAGTTTATTTGCTAAGGTCCTCTATACTTGGAGATGGCAATGTACACCGAGGTAAGTGTAGTCATTTTGAATTCTTTCCAAAAACAAACCTATCCTGTGATGTGATCTGAGGTGATCTGGTTGATGGCTTTGGTAAATAACAAGAAGCATGTTCCCTAAAAGTAACTTCTACAAACAGAGAAACAGCCAAAAAATATGTAATAACAGGTTACTAAAAGGCTACATGGTCTCCACAGATCTCTAAAAGGAAGGAATTAAGAATAAGAACGGGTTAACCAAGAGAAGAAACTTTTCTAGATGCCTGACCCTGACTATTTCAATGGAGTTACTTCTCAAGTAGACCATAAGACATTAAGTTACCATTACATGATATTTCTTAAGCGTTTCAAATTCCTTTTTGCTTTCTGTTTATGCCCACCAGCTAGACCTGTTCCCTACACATAATAGCTCAATACTAGTTAATTTTTTAAAGATTATTTATTTATTTATTCATGAGAGACACAGAGAGAGAGAGGCAGAGACACAGGCGGGGAGCCTGACTCAGGGCTCCATCCCAGGACCTCAGGATCATGACCTGAGCCAAAGGTAGACACTCAACCACTGAGTCACCCAGGTGTGCCTCAATAGTAGTTAACATTTATAGAGCTTTCACTATGTGTCCGGTCTATGCTCCAGGCACTGAAGTCATCTGGAGTGATTCTGAAAGTCTTTCAGAACAGAGGGACCACAAATGTATCTAAGATATGCCCCTCAGTAAATAAAATAAGTGAACTAGAAGACAAGAAAGGTTAGGTGACTTTTCCAGGTCACCCAGCAACAGCTCAGTGGCAGACAGAGGTTGAGGCCCAGATCTCTGATTCTTAGGTTGAACCTGGTTTTTGCTATACCAGCACTTGTCCTCTGTTCCCTGGTGGTGCCTGAGGGAGCTCGGCCAGGAAGAGGCGAGTGTGATCAGAATGGCCTTCAGCTCCTTCTCTCCCACCGAAATGGGAGAAATTTTATTTTACGGTCTACTGCTTGTGTTCTGAGTAAGTTGACCTAATGTTTTCCCCTTTCAAAAATGAGAGTAGAGCTTCCGTGTTCTCACCATAACAACAAGAAAGCAGCAGTTATGTGAGGTAGAGGAGGTGTTAACTAACCTTATTGTGGTAAACACTTTGCAATATATACAATGTATCAAATCATCACATCTTACCCCTTAAATTTACAAAATCTTATATGATAATTAAGCTGGAAGATGAATAAAATTGGGAAAAATGTTTGAAAATTTTTGCTATGTACCTTACTTTATGAATAAGTATTATGTAGAAACTCTGAATCATACTAATAATTTTTAGTATATTTTGCTACTGGCTCAGAAGTTAAAGCCTCCCAAGTACAGTCAGGCATTTTATGGGTTCGTTAACCTGTGTTAATTTTTAAGAACATATTCAGCATTGACTCAGGAGTAAGGACTGCCTCCCTTGAGGGAAGATAGGCCATTTGTTAGTACTGGAAGTTTCACTGGGTCTCTAAATTAGCTGTGTCCTCTGAGAAAGCATAAAAGGATGGGAAGAAAATGGGCTGCTGATGTCTGCATAGAGACTTGAGGAGCTGGCTGTTATTCTTCTTAAATTCACCCTCTTCTCAATTTGCCAAAATGGGTCTCTACTCCAGAACATATAGCTAGCTTAGATCTTAGCAGATTTTTTTTTAAGTTACAAACAATTCACTTGAGATGCTGAGTTGTACTTACTAATGCATGCCAACAAAAATGATCCATTTCTCTTCAAGGGAAAGAGGCAGGTGCTGAAATACTCCATACAAGGAGCCAGAATTAATACTGGTAGGATGCTGATGACATTCATTACTGCAACTGGCAGAAGAAATCCATCCAAATTCAGGTTGGAATTCATGGTCTGCACATAATATCCTGAAGGAATCTGTATTTGAGGGAGAAAGCAGCCAGGCATTAAGATAGTAGTTTAACTCTGGAGAAAGCATCCTGCTGCAGATGCCTTCTTGCCCTTTGTACGTTCTCTGTGACAGATGAGCAGGATGTTCCCCAGCTCTTCAATGTCCCAATTATGAGCTGACAAAGGGCAATATGAGCTCTGTTAGTCTATTGACAATATTACTGATCCTTTGATCCTTTATGGAGGAATCTTTTGTCACTCAGTCTAACTTCTTAATTTTCCTATGGAAAGTAAAGGTGGCCTGGCCCTAATTTTGTGCTTAGGATGACACATAAGACATCAAATAACTTACTAAAAAAAATGTAACATTGCTTATAATGAAACAGACTTTTCCCTCAAACAATAAAATAAAAGACAGTACAAAGTATTATGGATGTTTGTTTCTACCCTGATGAAAAAAAAATGGGGGCTAGAAAAAAATCCTTTGTAAAGCATCTAGTTTGGTGGCAAAATAGATAGGAATGATTGTTACAAAGAAGAGAGGCCCAGTCTAGAAACACAGCACTTGTCACAGGCTGTCTTTATTGCCTTCTTGGATTGGCTTCACTTCTAAAATGAGCCAAGTAACACAAAAAAACGAGAAACAAAACATACTTGTGTTTACACTCCTGTTTTAAACTAAGTGTGTGGCACTTGCGGACCACAAAGGAAGCTGCATGAAAAAGGCTTGCATAATAAACTAAGAGATAAGAAATGAAAAATAAACAGACAAAATCCCCCCAAAACCAAAAAACCAAAACAAAGAAAACCTGTACCCCATCCCAAACCCTCAGAGTAGTATCAGAATTTCTTCATTTTTAAAAAACCCTAGTCCTAAGTAAAAGCATAACCTTAACTTGGAGCCTTTCCAAGTATTCCAAACCTCTTGTTAAAAAGACAGTGTCACAGGAAGGAGGGCATCTCGTCACTTTTCTGGTTTGTGAACTTGGTTGCAATCACTCATCATTGTCACTCACAGTGCTTAGTATGTCCTTAATTCCCAGTGGAACACAAGGCTGCTAAGTGGCTTGGAGAGGAGGTCCCCCTGAGTCTTGTCCTTAAGGAATGGATTCTCCAACCATTTTTTCTTGCTGTGCATGCACTGCATTAGGATTGCTGCCTTCCCACCATATTGGGAGCACAGCCCACCTCAAATAGAGAACTTCCTGTTTGAAACTTTTCACCGACTCCTGTTATCAATTGTACAATTTGAGAGAGTATAAGAAGAGTTAGAGTCTCGAGTACAGCTGTTAACAAGCCCACCACTTATAAAATGAGCCCCCTACTATGTTAGCTATGTTAGCTATATTAACTACCTAAAACCAGAAATGGACCACATTTTCACAGACATTCTTTCTATCTATATAAAATCTGTCCTGGTGATAATTCACCTTCCAAGCTTTCATTTGCCCTTTAGAATTATAAACAAGGACTGCTTTGGTTGGGTGCAGACGGCAAGACTGAAGGGGACATTAACTAGTTCTGCCCTCCTTCAATAAAATTATTAAGCACGTATCCCTCAATCAGAGGAAAATGAATGATTTTTTTTTTAAGTGCTGGCAGCAGATCTGCTCTAAGACTGAAAGGCTCCCAGCATAATTTGGAAGTTTCTGTTACTGATTTCAAATGAGAATTATTGTTAATAGGAATAAAGTTATTATCGGCATGAATCACAGACACAGAAACCTGTTAACTTAATAATGTGGTGAATGTACTATTAATCTTTAGTGAAGCAATATTAATATATTGCCTAATCTAAGAAAAGGCTCCAGTGTCTTGAAAGCTTGAAATCATTTCTGCTTCTGCCTCAAGTTCTGAAATCATCCCCTTTTAAAATTTTAAATACTTTTATTTCATACAAGCCTCTGAGTATTCAGAAATAATTGCTGTCAATAGAGATTCATTTTCACCTTTGAGTGGCCAGTAATGTCAAATGGCAACATCATCAGCCTTAATATCAACATATTTTAAATGTATGCCTTGGAACTGAAGGTCAATAATAGCTACTAAATTTAAAATATGGAATTCAAGGATGTTTTATTCTTGATACTTTGATCGCTTTTATGCTGGTGATTATTTCATCTGAAGGGAAAAATCTAATTTCAGCTTGTCCCATTGGAAGTTTTCTCTGCCTCCCTTGAGAAGTACATTCTAAACAACTTCTTCTTCTCCTCCTCCTCCTCCTTCTTCTTCTCCTCCTCCTCCTCCTCCTTTTTCTCCTCCTCCTCCTCCTCCTCCTCCTCCTCCTCCTTCTTCTTCTTCTTCTTCTTCTTCTTCTTCTTCTTCTTCTTCTTCTTCTTCTTCTTTTGGATTTTCTGGCATAACATTACTGTGAATAGTTTGGAACCAGTAGGTGTTTCTCAGGAATTTTTAATGCAGCTGAAAGAGAGGCATTTTGGGTAATAGGAAAGTGTGGGTATTGATACCAGCACTGAGTCGGAATGCCATATGTTAGTGGAGTGACTGCAAGCAAGTTAGAAGTTATTTAATGTTTCTGAGCCTTGGCTTTAGGATCATAATATCAGCCTTTGTAAGCTTGCTATAGGGATTAAATTGGATACTGTAAAGTCATCTTTTCTGAGCTATGATACATATAGGTGATCAAAAAATAGTAGTTTTGTTCTTTGCAATAACTGGGCATCTAGATTTGGTGAGGGAGTTAAAAACTGGTTTATTGAAATTTATGGTAATTTATGTCAAATTAAAAAATTATGACAATTTGCAGAAGAAGCTCAAATTTAGTCAAAAGAAATAGCAAGTGTCACTGCATTATGAAGATAAAGAATCAGCTATTTGCACAGAAGGTTTGAGGCTGGCTATGGACCACTTAGTAATTTTGCACTTACTATTAATTTTGCTTTTTAATATTTTTTATGATATTAAAGATCATATATATGGGTTATATTTTTGTGTTTTTGTGCTGGCTCCTAATGTGGAGTCAGGAGGGAAGTTGAATTTGCTAAATTAACTTAGCTTTCATGCAGTGTTTATAGCAAAGTTTCTTGGCAAACTTTTTTGCAAAGTTCTAGATAAAAAATGTTTCCACATACTGATTCTATTGCAAATACTCAGTCCTATTGTTTTCATGCATTAGGAGACCTAGTATGACAAATAAACAAGAATGGCTATGCTCCAATAAAGCTTTATTTATTGTTCCTGAATTTTGAATTTGTTGTAATTTTCATGTCATAAAATATTTTTTCTTTTGATTTTCTCAAGCATAAAAAAAATATAAAAACCTTCTTATATTGCAGGGCATGAAGAAAAAAAAAACAGTGAGCTGGATTTGGCCTGCAGACAGTAATTTGCTGACCCCTGGTCTATTAGAGCAAGCTTTGTCCTCAGAGTCAGCAGGTGGATTTGTTTTTCCTTTCACTAATATTAACTATGTGACTTAGCTATCCCTTCCAGAATCACTTAATTTTTCCGAGTCTCAGTTTCCTCTTCAACAAATGAAGTAGTTGAGTAAGTTAATCTCTAAATTTCTTTTCAGCTCTACTGCTCTAAGATTTATGGATATAACTTACTCATTAGCCTTCTAAATTCAAAGTTGTGGCTTAGCAGCAAATATGGTCCTGAATTTCTTCAAAGACTTTATAATCACTTATATTTCTTCATAAGTTTGTCTTTGACAATTATCATATTAAAGTTGTTTTTTTTTGAAATCACATTTATTTATGAAAAGTACTTTGGACTTGCTATTTTCCCTCTAATTTCTCCGTAGCACAGGCACTGATTCACCAAGGAAGTAAAGGTGGGTGGGGAAAAAAATCACTTGCTCATTAGTACATATACTTAAGAATATAGTGGAGGTGGTACTTAAATCAGTCAAGTTAGTTACATGTTAGTACTAATTTTTAAAGGCTTAATGAAGGAGGAAGGCCAATCTTTGGCTGAAAAAAGGTTGGGTAATTGCCCATAGATCTTGTATTTTTGTGTATTGCTCTTATGTCTTGTGACTATGCACTCTGAAATATCGTCCACATCTTCTGAAAGACATTTCCAGTTTTACGAGAGAAACAACATACTGGGTGCTCCTCAGGTCTGCCTCTGCCTGACCTCACTTGTCTTTTGAAATTAAAGCCTATGGTGATGAGAAACATTTATAGGATGACTGCCTGACAAAGTTAGGCAGTGAGGAGAGTCTGATGGGCTGAAAATAAATATTTACTTGTAATGTTCACATACGATCATTTTATTATTCTTGGGTTAGTGCTAATTACCCTTCCTTACCTGCATAATGCATATTTTGTAGAGGAGCTGGAAAATGAAGAGAGGAAGAAGAGTGAAGAAATATTTTGTGTCTTCCACATGGAGCTCACTGTAGCAACCACCATTTTTTTTCTTGGCATGGTCTAACCAGCTTGTCACATCTCTAGCAAGACTGCAATAGTGCAGACAGCATATTTTCAGTGCATTAATAAACACCCCAAAGGTTGTCAGGAGAGAGCAACCTGCAAGTAATTCGAGATATTATGTATTAGTAAAGGAATTGTTCTTCCATTTTCCAAGATGTCAATCAGAAAGATGACAATTGCAAGGATGAAGGGCAGTAAAGTGACTGAGAAGGTTTTAGCACCCAAGGGGTTGAATTCAAAGGAACACTCTTCTGACAAGGGTTCTGGCATCCTGGTGACCAGCCCAAGGTGGTGCCTGACAGCTAATGTAAAAAATGAAAAAGATAAGATCAATGGGAACATACTAAAAAGGGAAGAAAGGTGACAAAATAAAACACCAAAGTAAGAAATTCCACAATCTCTTAGAAGTCTAACTCATTAATGAGTAAGACAACCAGAACTTTCTTTTACAGTTGTAACACAAAGAACTAGTACTATTTCTTAATATAAATTGTTATATAAATAATCTTCACTTGTCAGGTAGAGGGTGGTTTCTTATTTTGACATGGAGATGAAGCGAAATGTATTCTCTGCTTTGACTTTATCCTTGAATTTCAGACGTAAGGTTAAACTTTGAACTCTTCAAATGACTTTATACATGTTGATAGTGTCACTAAAAGTTCAGATTGGATTAGCTGGCTTTTGACTTTTCCAGTAGTTTCATCTGGGTTTATATGGCTGTCACTTCAGCATCCAAAGCATTTTATTGCTTCAGATGTTAGCAGTCACTTGCTGCTTGTGATTTGCAACCTCACTGTTGCTTCTTTTATGATCTTTCAGATTCCACCTTCTCTTTGACTCCATTAGGACTTCCTGATACAATGAGATAAGCCCCCCGCCCCCTTTTAGTTAGCAGTACAGCTGTGTCACCATAATTGTTACAATTTTTCATGGTACTCCCTTGACCAAATAAATCCTCCCACAAATTACTAGACACAAAATCATGGTTGCAGAATAAGTGGTATAATAAATGTAAAAATGTTTGGGTTTCCCCCAGAGAAGGCCACTATAGAAATTGAAGGTATAATCTGATTGTCATTTTGTTTATGTTCAAATTTCCCATAATAAAATTCTTCCTGAAATACATTCTAACCAAATTCATATAAGTGCCACTGAGTATTGGTTTTTATATTTAAATAAAGAATATTTATTAAAAATTTTTTATGGTTATAGAGTGATTATATTGATTTGATCTCTTTTAAGAGTTGTAATAGACCTATTATGTCAGCCTTTGATTAATTGAGGAAGCTGGGGGGCCTGGTAATTGAATATGGAACCTTTAACCTCTAAGTCACTGAATCAAATCCAGTCCAAATTGGTAGTGACCAAGAATGATTACAGCAGTGGCCCTTTGGTGGCCTCTGTGAAGTGTGTTGAGGTCAAGTGGAAGTATGTTGGAATAATTGCATCGCCTATAGGCTCATACCTGTGGTCACTATTGCCTCTTCTTAGTCACTATTGCCAGACACAGAGGAAAGCCCCAGGCGTGAGAATGCCAAGGGCCCAGAAACACCTGTAAGTGCTATGTCTATTAGGAAAGAATAGGGACATCTTTTTATTATTGCAGGAAGAACTGCTCTATTATGAGACTTTCTTAGCTATTTCAATTAGTTTACTTAAGACTTTAGTAAAATGAGAACTGAGAATGTCTTGATGAACAGTCTGGAGACTGAATTTGAACAGGTCTGGGCTAGGAGGCTTAACTTCCTGACATTTCCTTATGATGTTGTCTCTGTTGCTCATCAGCCTGCTCTCTGCTCAACTTCTGCAAAACAGGGATGTGTAGATGGTAAGGTTATTACTGGCATTAATCCAACTTACTCTATGCTTTCAAATAGGCTTTATGATGACATGATCGCTATTCACAGCATGGAAGACTAATTCCAAGGATATTCTCCCCAATTTCCCCACTATTTTTTTAAAACTTAGGCACTTATATTGAATACATGTTTTGAACTCATTTTTCCTTTTTTATTTAAGCAAATCATTATTTGTTTTAAGATGAATTAGCATCTGCTCTTAATGCATGGCAAATTGATATATGTAATCTTATTAAACAGTTGAATATCTTTATCATCTTATTTCTATTTTTTCTTTTTAAAGATTTTATTTATTTATTTATAGAGACACAGAGAGAGAATGAGAGGCAGAGACACAGGCAGAGGGAGAAGCAGGCTCCATGCAGAGAGCGGGACGTGGGACTCGATCCAGGGTCTCCAGGATCATGCCCTGGGCTACAGGCGGCGCTAAACCGCTGCGCCACTGGGTGTGCCTATCATCTTATTTCTAAAGAGAAATCTTTAGATTATAACTTCTTAAACTAGCTGTGCTAAAAAAACCTTTTTTTAAAAAAAGTTTCAACCATTATGGTCAATACATTTTAAAAATACTGTAAAATGTAATACCTAAAGAATAACCTCATTTGAGAATAAAATAAAATAAAATATAAAATATAAGTTCTGACATTTTTATTATTAGATTAAACAGACATAAAATCTAACTTTATGTAAATATTTCTACATGTTTCTTCTCAGTGTCTGTATTTATTTTGTTGCATACCAGTAACAAACAGTTCATTGATCAGCACTGTTCCATGGACAAGGCTTTGAATAGCACTAGCTTCAACTGAATACAACTTTGAAAAATAAATATATTTAAACCAATAAAATTATAACTGATAGGGTAATATGAAGCAACAAAAACAAAATGGTTAAGAACAAGAAATGATTGAGCATGAAGGAGGTCTAAAGTTTTAGCTAGGACAAGGAGGGCACATAACTGATTCCAAACAAATGTGAATGCAATCATTCATTCGTTCAACATATTAAGTACCTACTATGTGCCAAGGGCTTTTTGGGTCCTGAGAATATAATAGTGAACAAGATTTACAAATCCCTGAGTTTTCTTTATGGTGGGGGAGACACTAAATAAGCAGAAAAATATTAGGCATGTTCAATGATGAAAACAAAATGGACCGATAAGATAGACATTCATTATGGGATAGAGTATGAAGACTACAGAAAGAGTTGAAAATTGAACTGAGGATTGAATGGACCAGAAGTAGGCAAAAGATATGGAAGCAGCATATGTGAGACATGTCATAGGGTAGAAATAAGCTGAGGGGCACCTGGGTGGCTCAGTCAGTTAAGCATCTGACTTTGGCTCAGGTCATGATCTCAGGGTCCTGGGATCAAGCTCAGGGTCAGGCTCCCTGCTAAGTGGGGAATCTGCTTATCTCTCTCCCTCTGCCCCCACCCTCTGCTTATGCTCTTTCTATTTGTCTCTCTCAAATAAAATAAAATAAAAATCTCTTAAAAAGTAAGAAGAAATGAAAAAAAAAAGAAAGGAAGGAAGAAAAAGAAGAAAGAAAGAGAGAGAGAGAGAAAGAAGAAAGAAAGAAAGAAAGAAAGAAAGAAAGAAAGAAAGAAAGAAAGAAAAAGAAAGAAAGAAAGAAAGAAAGAAAGAAAGAAAGAAAGAAAGAAAGAAAGAAAGAAGCTGAAAGAGGTTCAGGATCCATAAAGGCCAATGAGGCAGTAGCTCAGTTAGTAAGAATATTGAAGGGAGGTCCAAGAGTTGGTCAGGGATCAATCAGACTTTACAGGCTAAAGTAAGAAGCTTGGGGTCTGACTTGCATGTTATGGGAAAGTATTAAGATATTTTATGCAGAGGGGGGATATTGTACATTTAAGAAGTTACTCTGGAAGTCTGGTAGTGGTGTGGATCATAGGTTTTAGAAAACAAGAAGGGAAGCTGCTAGAGGGCAAGAGGTAGTGGTAACTTGGACATAGTGATAGCAATGAAGAGAAGTGGACAGCAGGGGATATGTGTTTGAACAACCAGCAATATTTTATGATGTGGGGGGAGTTTGAAGAAATGAGACAATTTGAGGATGACTACTTATTCTTCCCTTAAAAAACTGGATGTTGGTGATTTACACTGAGATGGAGAAAACAAGAAAGGGGCTGGGTTACAGCTTGGTGAATCAGGGGATGAGTTTTGGTCAGGTTAAGTTTGAGAGGACTATTAGATAAGCAGGGCAAAATGTCGATGCCCATCTTCAAGAAATGTATGAGCTCTTGTCTTCTAATAACCTATTTTCTTTTCACTTTTTGAGGGCTTATACCTTTTCATCCTTGCATTTTTATTTTAATGACGTTTTGAGAAGTAGCATTAAACACATGTGACTAATCCACAATTTGATTAGAATTCTTCTCTCTGAATTTCAAAATGTATATATATGATAGGAGAGGGGAGGTAAACTGTGTAGAAATGTATCAAATTGAAAAAATAAAAGTTTTGTATGGTAAAAGAAATGTTAACTAGAAGTTGGATATACGAGTTTCAAGGTGAGGTCAATATGAACTTGGGCATTTGGTGCATAGCTGGCATTGAAAGTGGGATAAGAGATTACTTAAGAAAAAAGGATATGAAGAGATGGGGTCCCTGGAACGAATCCTAGGGTTTCGCATCAGTTAGAAGATGATCAGAGGAGAAAAGAAAAAGACTACCAAGGACATTGAGAAGGAGTGGACAATGTGCTATACGGGTTTTAAGTCAGAGGGGAAAAGAAAGCAGGGGAAATAGTAAGCCTAAATTGATCAGCTGGCCTGGGAGGGAATCATAAGCTAGTTGGAAAGGGCAAGAAAAGGAATCGTACAGTAATCTGACTGCCTGAGGAGAGCAACAGTTGCCCCATCAAACCAGGGAGTGAGCTCTGAATGTCAGGAGAGATAATCCTGTTGAAAACATCGACATCTAAACATCACACCACCTCCTTGGATTAATCCATTAGACTTAATAGAAAATTCATGCCCTCTGTACAAATAATTTGGGGTGTCATGTAGACTCCGTTTAAAAAAATCCATTGTCATTATAATTTTCAAATTGCTTTTCTGCACCAGGAGCAGAAATGGGAAGTTGGAAAAAAAAAAAAAAAAGGAATGAAAATGCAACCGAGACTTCAAGCTCTAGTTTAAATGTGCATGGCAAACACACCAGGCGTGCACATTTTAAAATAAAACAGATGAGCTATTTTAAATGTTTTATTGCAAAACTTA